AACACTATTCACGAGGGGAGGGATCCAACCCCTCTTTATTGTTTTATCTTTGTGTATTACTTTGCTACAATGTGTTATGTGTATTTGTCTGATTGAACTAACTTTTCTTGGGTTTTTTCTCCATTGCATTCATAAACCCTAGAAAATAAGAGTCCTGGCATGGTACTCTCTAGGAGCCTACCCTATTTGATATGACACGTTTAAATTCAATGCTTCGCATTTACAGCATGATTACATTTCATTTTAGGCTCACCCCGGCATACAAAAGGGGGTTCTTTTAGGTCGTGTTTCATTTGTATACTGCATATTTAGTCGCTTTGATAAATTGGTATCATGCATAAACCTTAGAGGGAATGCCATTTAGGGAATCCCGTTATAGGAATAAACCACCTTTTGTCTCGGATATATAATCCAATGAGACTTACACGTTTATATTTTTTGTACCATCCAAAGGGGTAGTGCACAAGGTAAGGTAGGATTTGATCCCTTCCGTGTGACGGCATTGAAAATAATGGAACAGTTTTTACGCATTAGAATATGAGCCTTTAATAATCACTTTTTGGCCATTTTATCAGAATTGGTAAAAATCCCTTGCGTAAAGGACATTAAGTTGAAGAAATTCACAAATTCCTCATTGTTGAGATGATAAGTATGTTAAGGCCAAATCTTGATTTTCGAAGGCTCATAGACTAATGAATCATAATGAATTTTTGAAAATTTTCAATGGGTAGACAATTCAATCAATTTTTGGAATAAACCATCAATTTCATTGGACCATTTTATTCATCAAATTCATCCGATCCATTTTTTCCTATTTCTTCACTTTTAGGACTAAGTCAATTTTGAATAAATCAGCAATTTCGTTTGACCAATTTACCCTTTTTTAGGGTGATTCGGTCAATTTTGAATAAATTAAATTTCATTCAATTCATGTGACCAGTTTACCTATTTTTAGGGCAATTCGGTCGATTTTGAATAAATCATCAATTTCATTCATTTCATTTTTACATCTAATATGATTGAGTCGATTTTTTTTATAGATCATTCGATCCTTACAATTTTGCTCGTTTTTAATTTCATCTTCATTCAATTTCATTTTGAATAAATCATCAATTTCATTCTGTTCATTTGGTCAGTGATCAAGTCGATTTTTGAATAAACTGGCAATTCTATCCAATCTATTTGACCAATTTATTCATTTTTAGGCCAATACAATCAATTTTGAATTAATCATCAATTCCATTCAATTCATTATTCATTTAATCAATTTTATTTTTTTATTTTTTTTTGAATAAATTCTCAATTCCATCCAATTCATTTGATCAACTTTATTCATTTTTAGGATAATCCAGTCAATTTTTTGAACTAACCATCAATTTCATTCGATCCATTTAACTCGTTTATTCTCTTTTAAAGTTTCGATCTATGGTTCACCGAAGAAACTAGTCGAGATATTTCAATCCTTTCAAAAATAAGTTTTTCACACTAAATTGATTTTTAACATCACTTTATGTGTCAATCAAAACAATCAATCCATTCGGACTTTGTCCTCATTTTATTAGAACAAATTGTCTTTTGTCACTCCAATTATCCAGTCTTTTCAAAATTGTCTTTTCATTGAATCTCAATAAGTCGATCGGATCCATCAGGTATTGTATGGTGCCTACCCCAGAGGATTGCATTTTTCATACTAGGCCAACTCTTGGCATAAAAGGGTTCCCCCATAGGACATGCATACCGATTTTGCAGTTTTGCTTACTAACTCTGGGTATTTTGCTTTTATTTTTTCCCCCTCCCCTGCATTTATAAAAGTTGTTTCAACAAGGTAAAAATATTTTTCCTATATCTGATAATATTTTTGGTCTGATAAATTTTGAAAATTACAAGTGTTGCTTGATTCTTGGGCAGATCCTACAATGTAAAAAAAAAAAAAACGATGATGAAAAAAATGAATGAAAAATCCATTTGAAAACGCTAGTGTAAAGTATCTCAAAAATCTTTTGATTCATTGTTTCTAATATATTTTGTCTCAAAAGATAGAAGGAGAAAGTGTGTATATATTTGAAAATGTATTCTTTAGAGATTTTTATTTGCTCACATGTATTATATTTGACCCAAAAAAAAAAATTTCAAACATTTGAATAATAAAGTTTTTATTTAGACAATTATTGTTTTGTATATATTCATTCTTTATTTGCTCATTGAGAGATTTCATGATAGATTTTAAGGAATAAAAATTGAAATTTTTCGACCTCTTGTTCAAAATTCATGAGTGCACGTCAAATTCCCAAAATTCTTTGCATACACTAGATTTGTGATCTAAACTATTCAATGGGAGTAGTCGAAAATAAAAGGGGTCATACAAATTTGATAGTTTGTCATAAAGATCAACCCCGACACTTTTTTCATTTTTTGTCCACTTCTATTGAACCTCCAAAGTCAGTCGCATTGATTGACTAGCTTCAAAGTGAGACAATTTTACTATGAAAATGTCCAGTGTGTCTAACCAGATTCAATCCACATCTGAGTGAAAACAAAAATGTATATTACTTTTTATTTGTTTTGAAAATTTGGAATGATACTTTAGGCTTTTGTTTCTCTATCTATATAGATTTTATCATTTATTTTTCCATTTGAACCTCCAAAAATAGAATTCCGTTTCAAATAAAAATCTAAATGATCATGACCATCCATGAAAAATTCTCAAATGTCAAAACGAAATGGATTTTCTCAATGGGCTATTCTTTACTTTGGTTGTCATGAGAAACAAGAATGATGCTTTGGCCATTGTTTCTACTATCCAAACACTTTCTATCCTTTGCATCCCCATTTGAGTCTAAATTGGTGGTTCGTTTCAAAAGCACTTATGATCGCACCCCCACACTGGGGAAGGAGATTTGAGAATTGAAAAAAAAATGGCAAAAATGCTCAAAATTTTTTGCAAGAGAAAAATTACAAGTTGGGGGAATTTGACTCTACCATTGATATTTTGGTCTTCACTGTTGAAAAGAAAGAGGGGCCATATATACTCCAAATTAGGGAGTTTTCAATTTTATCATTGACATTGGGATATCAGTATTGGTAAAAAAAAAAAAAGAGAGAGAAAAGAAAATTGGGAAAAAATGAAAAAATGATTATAGAAAAAAAAAATGCGAAGACATCCAATGTTGCATTTCCCTTAGTGATTGTTGAAGAAAAAAGAGGATTGATAAGAAAAAGGGGGTCCCGGATTTTAAATCCAAAACTGGGGCAATTTTTGTGAAAGAAGGCGATCTTAAGTGCGTTGTCCTTGAAAATTCTATTTTTTTTTTTTTTTAGCTATCATTGTTAAGCCACATTACAAGCTCATAAAGTCCATTGCTGACTTATCTTTCATGACAATTTGAAGTGAAGATTTCGCCTTTAAGGAATTTACCAATTACTCATGATCATTAGGTCATAACTTGTTTCCATATGTTTAACTATCGTTTCTACCCATACATTACAAGCCCATAGAGCTTATATGTTAACTGAATTTTCTTAAGAAATAAGGGTGATAAGCTATTTGCTTTCACCAAGATGTGATACTGAATGTGTTGGATACAATTTGGGCACAAAAAAAAAAAAAGACAGATCCTGACATACCATCTCCCTGAGTCACCTCAAAATCATGAGTAATACCCATTTGTTTGGTCCTAAAAGATGAGCCAACGAGAAGAGGACCCTTTTCCCTCGATATCGATCCCAAAAAGAGGAAGAGATCTTTTGTAATTTGGTTTTGTTTTGAGAGATTTATCATGGAGCTTTCTACATGGCATTTAAAGTTTTTTGTGGAAAAATGCATTTTTTCTATTGTACATCAACTCACATTGCATGTTAGTTTTTTTAAATTTTGGAAGACACAGTTTTCTTGTTTTGTCCGAATAAATGGAGAATCACTCGAATAAAATTTTAGAATAGACCCAAATTGGGGCAAAAATTTTTGTAATATATCTGTGAGATTTTGTCAAATAGGTTCAAATTGAGGTAAAATTTTTAATACATTTGTAGGGTATGTCCAAGGTCAAGTATATTTCTCAAATCTTGATAAGTCAACACTTTGCATGAATGTTAATTGTTATATCATTACTCAAAAAAAACAAAAAAAACAAAAAAAAATTGAAAATTGAAAAATTCAAGTGCTTTGAAAAATTCTCCTTATGCAGGTGTTTATGGTTGAGATCGAGGAAAAAGTGCAATTCAACTTGCAAATTTGGAGATTAGTCACGAATAAAAATGGAGCAATAATGCTACATTGCAAAGTGGAGGATCGGCTATTTGCTCAAAAGGAGTACATACTTTAGCAGCCAACTTGAAAAAAAAAAAAGAGAAAAGAAAAGAAAAAGGGGGAATGAAAGAAAAAAAAATTTCATTTGTCAAAGTGTAATATTTTGCCTTACTGTCAAATGTAACTGATATGCAGGGTGGTGAATGGGAAAGAATTGATAATTCATGCACGAGAGTTGGGATTCCCTGACTTACTTTCCCCATCCCTGGAGTCGATGACTTGGTATGTATACTTGAAGTATGCCATAAATATATTCAGCATCCGAGATGTTTCAGATGAGAATATTAAAGGTACATCCAACTCTTGGTAGAAGTTATTACGCCTTGTATATGTTCTCATTTGCGTCTAACATTAGTTTGCTTGGTATTATCTATGCTGATTTCTTTTTAATGCATTTGGGAACTGAACTATTGGGGATCATTTATGCATTTTCTGCTATTCCCTGTGTATCGCTTTTTTTTTTTCCTGTGATTTGTGTGAAGTTTCTCCAATTGGTTCTAGATGTTGCATTTGGCTTGTAGTTAATGTGTTAAGGAAAGGTGATTTCCTAGTAAAAGATGCTACTAGTTTTCCTTGTTTGCTCCGGGTTTGACCGGTGAACCGGATAATTTGATCAAACCCGGTTTTTTTTTTTTTTTTGCCCTTTCTGCTTTTTTTTCAGTCAAAAGTTGGACTGACCAACTAAAAAAGAGACGAAATTATCAAAACTTGGGGTCAGCTCCTCTGCTTCTCTTTCCGTACTTTTCTTCCTTTCTTCTTCAGCTCCAATAACCCTAAAATCTAAAAGCCTCCACCGCTGGCATTTGAGATTCACCGATCGTCGCTTAATCAAGGTTGCCGTTAGTCACTTGTCCTTCAATCTCTAGCCTCCACTGCCGCAACACCACCAGTTTCTTCAGATTTCAAGGTTCAATCAAGTAATTAACACGCTGGTGAACCGAAGCTAAATCTGGTAATTTTTATAATCTAAACCAGTCGTGAAGATGGCTAATTCATTATGTTGAAGTTGATCTATGACTAAAATTTCAGTATTTTTTTTATTTATTATGCTGGCATTTGGGATTTTGATATTATGGGTGAGAATATCACGTCCTTATTAGAGAATCTGGAAATTTGAATTTGATTGTCTCTTCTTGTTTTCAAGTTTCTTCCATTGATGATTGGTTACTTTTCTTTGTCTGTTCCATCTGGGTTAACCATTTACTGGTTATAATTCGCACAACCATGCTTATATGTCCCTTCACGTTTCTCTGTTATAGCATCAGTACCAGTGCAAACTGGTTGATACACTGGATCAAGAATTTTTAAGTTGATAATGATCACACAGTCCAAGCGAATAGTTATCTTTTCGTTTTGAGAATACACTGGATCAAAAGTTAATAATGTCTGTTACATGAATGAGTCTCTTCTGTAGTTTTGTGACCAACTTATGTGTTTCCTACCTCAAAGGCTGATGGATACAATTATCAGCCGTACTAGTACCATGGACATAAATGGTAGAATAATATGCTACAACCATTTAATGCAGTTTTTAATGTCCTGTGGTCCAATAAAGCAGCAGTCTTTAGTGTAATTTCCTACCTCAATGTCTCTTCAGTCTTCTGTAGTTTTTAATGTCAGCTTGATGATGAGGATGATCTTGATGACATCGATATCGAAAGTTATGAAATTGGAGAAAAGGGTGATGAAGATGAAGATGAAGATAAAGAATGGCTTAGATAGTTCTTTGGTTTAGAAATTGAACGTGTTGTTTATTTAGATTGATATTTATCAAGCATTTGAACATGAGCTTGTTACCTTATTTGGATTGCTATTTGTCAGGGATTAAACATGTATGAGATTTCTATTTTATAAATTTTGTGAGTTTGGATGAATTTGGTGAATTGGATATAAATTTAGATGATTGGGTTCTTTGGTTATATTTTGTAAATTTGATTTGCAGGAATATATATATAATATAATCTATATATGACGTATATATGACGTCATCCGGTTCGACCCCTATTGACCCCGGTCGAACCCATTGACCCCTGACCCCTGAGCTCGCCGAGTCGATTCCCGGCCGAGTCTGAAAACATTAAAAAGTTGACTTGTTGCATGGTTCATTACTTTATGCGCATATCAACTGATGTTATAACATATTTTCCTGGATTTCGACAGTTCCAGCCTTGAAATTGGAAGATCAATACATCACTGATTTCAAGGAGTTAGGAAAAGCATTGCCTTTAGCAGAAGTACAACAGGAGGATTTGCTTGACAGTTCTATTCAAAATGTGAAGAATGCGGTACTTTTGACCCTGTTGTCTGACCATTTACAGATCCCAATCGCATTCCTTGGCTCAGTGATTTCAACGCACTGCTGCAAGAGCTGGAACTGCCCAACCAGTTTCAGTAGATAATCTCAATGAGAAAAGGCCTGTCGTGCTCTCCGATGCAGAGGCAGCATTTAAGACTTTAGCATGGAGGCTTTCAGATTCAGCTTTTTTTGCTCCTAGAACAGTAAGTGAATGATTTTCGGAGCTTTTCAAGGAAGATAGATTCTCAACTTATGGTTATGATTGTTGGCATAGGGCAAGGAACGCGTCAGTTTATGATGCAAAATTGGTTGGATGTACTTCAATCATACGCAGAATTTTGGTCAGTACTTTCTTTCATTTGCAACATGTGATCCTTAATTTTGGTAAGTAGACCTGGCAATTATTCCCAAAACCCACAACCCACCCAACCCACCCACTAATTTGAGAGATTGAGTTGGGTAAATTGGGTATTGGGTCAATTTTGGGTTGGCTAATAAAAATTCACATATATTTTGGACAGTTTGGGTATTTGTGTTGGACACCTATTACCCAACTTTTGCTAATTGAATCAAGTAAATAATCAACACAATCTTAAAAGGGTGAATAGTTACTCAAAAGCATCAACTATAGACTTTTTTCTATTATTTTTTGCTATAAACATCTTTTGTGATTATACTTGGCCTATTTTTAATTCCTTGGTTACATACTTAATAGGGTATTACCCTAGATATGGAAAAGGCCAGATGCGTTAGAATAGTTGCCAGATTCATCGTGACAAAAAAATTAATTTTCATTTGTGAGTTAGATATTTAGCTACAATATGACTTTTTTTCATTTATACTATCGTCATCAAAATGTTAAGTATGAAGAATTTGAACATTATTAAATTCGGAATTAATTTTGAGACGTTAATGTCAACTTACAACTACTCATGCCCAAAACCCAACAACCCACCCACTAATTTGAGAGGTTGAGTTGAGTAAATTGGGTATTGGGTCAATTTTGGATTGGGTAATAAAACCCACATATATTTTGGGCGGTTTGGGTATTTGTATTGGACATCCATTACCCAACTTTTGCTAATTGAATCAAGTGAATAATCAACACAATCTTAAAGGGTGAATAGTTACTCAAAAAGCATCTATAGACTTTTTTCTATTATTTTTTGCTATAAACATCTTTTGTGATTATAAGTGTGGTTGGATTATAAATTATTTGAGATATTTTTACTGTAGTACTTTTTGTGATGTGATGTATGTGAGATGTAGACACCAAATTTTTGTCAATTTTAATATTTTCTTGAATTTTTTCTATTTAATGAGTTATTTATTTTCTTGCATTTTAATTTGCATTTTTCTCATTTTTGCAGTTTGTTTTAGGAAAAGAAAGAAAAATTAAAAAAACAACAAACAAAAACAAACAAAACAAAAGAAGGAAAATTAAGAAAAATAAAAAAAAATCATTCTAATCATTTTGTTTCATCAGAACCACTATTAACCCATTTTTACACTCCATCCTCATTAACATTTTCTTCCATTTGGTAAAAAATTCATCATTGATAGCCATGCATACTTCTTGTCTTTGGAAGAAAAAATCATTCATTTGGCCCAACTTAACACTCCTAGTCAAGACATCACTCGGCTCTCTCTGGGGGAAAAGGAGGAAAAAAAACACACACAAAAGGCTCTACTGTTGGCTACAAAAATCTCCTCTCTCGGCTCTCTCCCACAGGACAAAAGACAAGCCATAACAAGAAAAAAAAAAGAAAAACTCCTCTCTCCCATTCGGCTCCTCTCTTTTCCTAATATACACACACAGAATCAAGCACAAGAAAGCAAGCAATCGGACGCGAGGAGATTGGAATTTCATCAACAATTTTAACTAAGGTCATAAGAGGTATCAACACTTCCATTGAACTATTTCCCGTTTTTTTTCTTTATCGTGTTGAATTCATGTATTATTGGTTGTTCCTGCTGTTTTCTTGTTGTTGCTGCTGGTGTTGTTGAAATTTTGGGGTAAAGCCATGAATAAACATTAAGGAAAAGATGATTTCTGTGAATGCATGTTAATTGTTTGAAAAAATGCCAAAAAGAATTTTAGGGACTGTTTTGCCTTAATTCAGCCTTTTTATTTGTTTTCTTGTTCAACTTAGATTATAGTTGTAATGTAGAAGTTATAAGGAGGGTTTTGGCATAATTTTTAAGATTTTTGGTGAAGATTATAGTGTTTTAAAAATAAAAAACTGGACTGGCTTTTGCTTTTCGGCCACCTTCGGGTCATCTTTTGTAAAAATTAACTCCGGAAATGGAACCTACGCGAAAAATGGAGTGGAAAGATGTATTTTGAGAAATTTTGGCCACTGGAAAAGTCGCCGGTGACCGGCGGTCCGGTGGCGCCGCCACCATGGCTACCAGCTGAAGCTTCTTCGGTTGGCCGAAGAAGAAGGAAAGGAAACGTATGGGGAAGAAAAGAGAAAGAAAAGAAAGAAAGAAAAAAGGGTTTGGGCTAATGTTTTATTTCGGTTGGGCCAAGAGTTAGTTTTGGTTGGGTTATGAAAATGGGTTTTGGTTTATTTTCTTTTGGGTTTCTGTTGGGCTAAGAGTTTTGAGTCCATATATTTTGGTTGGGTTTGAGTGATAAAAGACGGGCTGGCCTGTGTGTTTTAGGTTGGGTTTTCAGTTGGGCTTAGGTAGGTTTGGCCCAAGTAAAATAAAAAGGGAGGCCCGATGCCCTCTTCTTGCCCAAATCAAGAAACGAACTTGCACTTCAGTCCCTGTACTTTCAAGTACTTTCACTGCGGCCCAGAACATTTTAAATTCCTTTCAACTCGTCCTTAAATTAATTTCACTTTGGTCCTGAATTTTATCTTTCATTTAATTTGGACCCCTGAACTTTGGAAAATATAATTTTTGTCCCCAAAAGTTTTCAACTTTTTGTAATTCAGTCCTTGACAAATTTTGGCTCTCTTTATTATGATTGTTTCTTTTTCTTCAATAACTAATTATGTTACTTTTGAACATATTCAACTTGTAATTTTTAGATATTTTAAATTTCTTTATGTTTGACATATTAGCGTGAGCTTAGTACTTTTATTATTATTGTTTTTTTTTAAAATTAAATTGGTGCCATGATTCTTTTGTTCATTGTGAGTATAAATAGGACAATTTGACTCCATTTAGTCACCACTTCAAAAGGGAGGTACCTCATTATTATTATTTCAATGTTAATTACGTGCTCTTATGTGCTCTTACGTGCTCCTATATGTTTATATATTTTTATATGCTTTGTTTATTTGATTTGAATGATCATTTAAATTTTCTTATACTTTTTTAGTTAATTTTATAATTATTTGAGAGGCATTTAAATACCACAAAAATGTAATAGATAGGATAATTAGATTTGTTTTATTTTATTTCCCCTTTTAGATTGTAGTTAGGCGCTCCCCGATGTAATAGATAGGTTGTGTGCTTATGTGGCTTATGTGTTACGTGCCTTACTTGCTTTCCTTAGGATTTTTGCATCTAGATATTATGCTTATGTGTTACGTGCTACGTGCTCTTATGTGTTTATTTGTTTTAATTTATGTCTACTTGTCTTATTATGTATTAAAAATGCATGACGTCACCACACTAGTCCCAACGCTAGTTGTGGTTTCTCCCTCCGCTTACTTGCTAGTCCAACGCTAGTAAGGATTTTTAAAAATGGGCTAGTCCAACGCTAGACCCTTTAGGCCGTCTTGCGTTAGATTCATCTTTGTGTGCTATTCACTACATTTTCATGCATATTTTCATTTTTAGGATATTTTCTCATTTGTATGATATTCCCTATTATATTATCCCATATTCTCTATAGGTGTTAATCATGTCATTTAGAATTGCATCTCATTTAAGCTAGTTCATTTGCTTGTTCATGTTAGGATATTATTTTTCAAACATGGAAAATGGGTGATTATAACTCTATAGTTTAAATACCCTATTAATCCATGTATAAGAAAATTATGTCACGAATTTTTTCGCCTCCCGTACCCTTTATGTTGCATTCCCTTTTTCTTTGATCACTTATATATATGTATATAATTTAATTTCTTTTATTTATTTTATTTTTCATCATTTATCCTCGTGACAGTAAGGATTCATTTTGGCCTTCGCAATTAATGCGATTGATCCAATTAAACCCTTGAATGAACATTTTGTCCCTTTCGATATTTTTAGATTTGCATCCATGTAGGAAACATCCGTGATAAAATTAAGGGTTAGATTAGGAAAATTTTGACTAAACCTCGCAACTAGCTTAGACTAGGTTGAAAGGGTGCCTTAGGTTTGAGTTAATCGAACCTTTGCCTTCCCTTTCTTCAACCGTGACTCCCGAATCCATTTTCTCTTGTTTTCAAAGACCTGGAGTTGTCAAAAAGGGTTTTATTTTATTTTATTTTACTTTATTTTTTGGGTGACTTGGTACACCAAAATTTCATACCAAGTGGCGACTCCTATTTTTTCTTAAAAACCCTTTTAGACTAAATTTTGGACCCAAATTGTCGCATTCTTTAAAGTCCCATTCTAGGTCCTTTTTCATTTATTTTAAAATAAGATTACATATTTTGTAAATACCTATTTTTATACTTATATTTTTCCATCACGAAAAATGGGGCGCGACAACTTGGCGACTCCACTGGGGACGCTAGAGAGTCCAAGCACTTGGTTTAGTTGTCTTTTCTCTTTTTAACCCTTTTATTTATCGCATTTGGATGTTTAGGGTTGCATTTTCTCTTTTTTAGGATTTTTTGCATTGCGCGCGTATCAATTCACTCCCTCATCTATTTGTGTACGATTGATGGATGGATAGTTTATGTATGTTATCCCGCGCTTTGCATTGCATTTGGATGGGGGGATATTACCCTAGAGCCTCGCATTGGTTCTCGATCCCTCCCCTCCAAACCGAGCACTAGCATACGTGCATACGTTTTATTTTATCCCTCATTTATTTTTCTTTAGTGGCTTGTCACGCCACTCTTCCCTATTAGGATTAGGCGACCCACTTGGATGTGTGATCGCGACACGACGTGTGCGTAGCATGATTCGAGGGGTCACTCAATCTTCCATTTTAAGCTTTGGGTTGATAGCCTTTAGCTTTTAGTCGAAAATTGAGAATTTTTGATAGATTCACTTGGACATGTGGCCGTGGCACGACGTGCACGTAGCAATGTCTGGGGAATCGCTCGAGCCACCGACAAAGAACCTTGGGATTGATGACCTTTGGTTTCTAAGTCTGAAGGCTCGGGGATCTAAAACCTATCGAGTCTAGATGCATTAGTGAGCCGATACCTCATGCATCCATGATAGT